ATCCTTTAACTCAGAATATTGAGCCAATCGTGTGTTGGACACGAATAAAAGTGAGATGAAAAAGTTTCGATCTTAGCGAGGCTTTAAAAGGAAAAACGTTTCAATCGAAAATTTGCACATGCAGATGGGAATTAGAATACAACTTGATAATTGATAATTTTCATATTTTGAAGGACTATTTATTTCACTACCAGTCTTAGGGATATGCAGTAAGGACTATTAACAATATGGAAGAAGGAAAACACTGATGCTGCATGGAGAACGTCGATTCTTTCTAACCTCTGTCGAAATAAAGAGCATATCCTAATCGTTAAAAAAACATGTTATATGTCTGTTTCCGAAGTTGTGATTGTTATTATTTGTTTAACACTAAACAAATGACAGATTTCCAAAAAGAGAAGGTTTGAAGTAGTGAAACAGCACGATCCACTGCGTTCACTGCTAAATCTACCTGTCATGGATTTTACTTAAATACAACATGCTTCAGCAACAGTGGACCCAGTCCCAACAAAAGTTGAGTAAAAATATTCGCTAAATCTTGAAAAGGAATACTCACCAGCTAGATCAAAAAGTGGGTTTGGAATCGAAGCAAACAGCAGAATTCCTGGAAATCCAACTCGTGAGATAAATCGTTCAACCCAAGCCTTTCCACGATCAGTCCAAGACTAAATCCCGGCACATTTATTCAAGCATAGCAATGCAAACAGTAGTACTCACTAGCTCGTCAGCTCCACCCTTTTCAGCGCGCATCAGTTGCAAGAACTCTTTATACTCTTCGTCATCTGGTTCATCTCCACTAAGTCGTGCTGCCCTAGCCATAAAGTATGGAGGAAGTTCCCCAAGTGCCGTACCAGCACCCCATAATAATGATTCAACGCGGACCTGAAATCATTTCAAGATAAACAATTGTAAAAGATAAGTCTCGGCTTCGATCAATCCCCCCGTAGATGTAAGGCAATCAGCGAATGGCAAGGGCCCTCATGCGCAAGCTTTGTTACAATATTTGGTGATGGAATGGTTGAATTAGAACAAACGATTTTTACACTTCTATATAAAACTTGTATGCGTAGCATTCGCAA